AAAAAAAAAACACAAAAAAACCCCAAACACCAAAAAAGAAAAAAACTCCACACCTAAAAAACCCCCCAAAACCGAAAAACACCTCCCAAAACACGCCCCCCCCCCAAAAAAAAAAACCAACAACACAAAACCTAAACAGAAACAAAAATTCCCCAAACCACGACTGTATTTCCAGGCTAAAACAAAAGGAGGGTAACCATACAGCCAGGTCTTGGCTTCTGGTCCATCTGTTTGGCCAGACAGCTTGAGAACAAAGGAAGGATGGGGTGAAGTTTTTTTTTTAAACACCGGAGAGTGGTGTCTGTTATGTCAGATGTGGGCGGGCCAGTATAAATGCTTTTGTAAGCTTACCCCCAAGGCTGTAGTTGGGAGGTTCAGCTGCTTTGTTTAATGTGGTATAATAAGGACTAACGCAGGCTTCTAATACATGAGTGAAATCTCCACGCAGGTGTTGCATACTGCTTCATCTACAGTGTGCAACGACCTGCTCCACTGCAGTGTTGTAAAGCCACTGTGCGAACCCAGCACAGCCAATTATAAATAAATAAGCTGCGTGGCTCTCTGAAGAGAGTACAGCTACCCTGTCCTCCCTGCAAAACAAGTCCCAGACTACACTTCATGCACGACAAGCAGGCACAGGGAGTTCCCACGGGGACCTTGCAGATCACAAGGTGTGCTGCTGCAAGGCTCTGCATCTACAAGCTTTAGCTGAGCTGACATGCTGCAGAAACAAAATAGTGGAGATCCCTCTACTTTTTCCTACTCACTTTTTTTCAGTGATATCTAGTGCTTGTGCCAGCCCTGCCACTTCAAGGGCATTTTAAATGTCTCCTTCAGTCTTGCAGGAAGAGATCACTCCTCTTTACAGAGCGAAGATTTTCTGCCTACCTAAGGCAACACACTTCCACCATCCTGCAGTGGAGTTAAGCTGAGTTAGGGTTGCTGAAGGGCTGCCTTTCTGCACGTGAGATGAATTAAGAGAAGATTTAATAGGGTCATAAAGGTCTATCCCCATTTTAGAGACAGAAGCATGCATGCTCTGTGTACAAATAAGCATCATGTTCTGGCTTTGTCTGAGCACAGAATATATCACCACCTGCTCTTCAAAATCAGTTCCAGCACACACACAAGTGAGGACAGTTGTAAATTGAACAAAACATGCGGCAGTTTCCTAGAGATCAGCCCAGAGCTGTGTGTAATGACACCACGTGCTCTTCAGTTAAACTTCCCTTTCCAGAATGGCATCTCTCCTCACTGAACACCTAGTATTCATTTCCAAAGGTTATTCACCCTACCTAATTATTTCCATCTTCTTATTCTTCACAGCCCTTAGTTCATCTTTAATAAGGATTTTTAATCAAACTTGAAAGCTTATTCCTCCATGCTGTACAGTTCCCCCGTTTCCAATAACGTTATTGCAGCAGTGTTGCTTTGATCTTTTAACAGCCATTTTGCATACTGAGTATCAGCTTTGCCCTAATGGCACAGACATCTCTGAAAGCTCCAGGAGAATTCAGCAGGGAATCCTTACATTGATAAACCCAGTTTAGTATTCACATTAGCACTGAGGCAGCCGCAAGAAAAGGAGGAAAAGAAAAATTCTTACATTTTCCTCCTACCTGCTCCCTCTACACCTTTCACTAATAAATTTGTGCATGGACTTAATGCTCATGAAATTGGTAGACTAATGTTACCAATTAGACTCAAGCAGGGACTACAAGTGAGGCTCACTGCTCTGCAAACAAATCTTAGCCTGCCTTGCAGGAGACTGGCTTGTACCAGTGCCATGATTTTTGCAGGATATTTACTTGTCACGAATGATGACTTCCTGCTATGCAGAAATGTTCTGCTGAGTCTGGAATGGCACTGCCATCTGCTTTAGGTATAGTTAACCCTGCCTTGAAGATGAACCAGACAAAAATGTCCTGACCTGTGTACCAGGGATGGCTGATGGCCCACACAGCACAAAAGGAGAGCCGTAGGATTAATACATTTAAAAAAACTGCCACTCAGCAAAACATACGGCATATTAGCAAGCAACAAATTTGAAAGGGAGGAAGAAAAGACATAAAGGACAATTCCAAGTGTAGCCTGATTAGCTGGCAATAAACAAAAACCAGTGCACTAGCACAGCAAAGATGTCTTTTGAATTTTTCTTGGGTAGGTATGCTTTCCTTCAGTTACAAGAGGCTGAGAGAAACTAGTCAAAGTTCCTTTTCATGAACCTACCACCACACACATGCCACCAGTTCGTAAGAACTTTGCACATCATGGCCCACCCTGCAGGGATCTGCTCACACTTCCAGTGCTGCCCAGCCCCACGGAGGACATCAGCTCCTGGCACGCTCCCAGCTGCACCCTGCTGCACAAGGTCATGCCTCTGGCTTGGAAAATTCTGGGCTCAACCAATAGTCATGTTGCCTGTTCTTTTACTCCCACCCTGGAAAAAAAGTATTGACTGCACAGAATCTAAAATGCTGCAGGGGGAAAAAAAATCCTCCAAAATGAAATGCCTGTAGCATTCTGTGGGCAACCCCAGCCAACTCTAAAGGTATTGCCTGGCAACACATAGGGCCAAGGGCACAAGGGCAAATCCGATAGGAAGCGTTCACTGCCAGCAGCTGCCCATGACTGCAGCAGTGAAGAAGGGTACTGAACAGCGTCTAAAAAGCAGATAAAGAAATGGGACATAACAGGATATTGTAATCTAGAAAGAGAACGAGACTCTCCAAAAGCTCAAAGACTGATCCTGCACAGTGGCAACAGAAAAACTCCCTCCATCTCTGAGGTTCAGGATCAGAAATCAGTAACTAATACCTGGGAATCTTCCCCTAGCTGTCATTGCTCCTGTGGCTGCTTTATAGAAAGAGATGCCCACCTCAGGAGGGCTGAATTGCTCTCACATGGGCATTGCCCTCCACTGCCTTCAGAAGGCATCTTGGAGGAATACATCTGTAATGCAGGAATTGCTAATGGTCACCAAGGGTCTGTCCTTCCTGGGACTGAAGTCACTTCTCCCAGCTGGATGAACTGCTCTTCCTGCTTTTTTTCTGATTAAAGACAAGATGTAAGGAAAGGCCTGCCCTGAATGCACATGTCAGGTAAGAGCAATTGCTCCCTCCCTCCCTGTGACCTTCTGCAGCCTGCAGGCGCTTGGCTGGCCCCGCTTAGCCAAGGGGTTATACCTGAAATGGATTCGGTGACAGCAGACAGATCCCCTCGTCAAATCTGATTTACACTGCAACAAAGCCCATCGGTCATCAACATTATGATAGAGTAACAAAATATTCAACCTGAATTACCTTTTCAAGATGCTTAACGGGGTGGAAACAAGTCAGGATGTATGAAGCTTTCATTTCTCTTCTGGGCTCTGTCTCTGATTACACAGATATTGCCCAAAGGCCTTGGGAAATGTTTGAATAAACTACAGCATCATTTTTTTATGCTGAAATGCAAGAAGGCTTGAAAGCAGGTCAGGGATTACCATGTTCTCAGTGCCCAAGTTAGGATCCCTGATTTTCAGGGGCAGGATGCTGAATATTTCTTAAAAACCAGTCCCCTTTGAAATGTCCCAAGTTAAAAAGCCTAGCAACTGAAGCTCCCAAAAACTTTAAGTCACTTTGGAAAATTTAGGACCTCAATTTCCAAGTGCCAAGGTGATGGACATCTTTCATGATTAGGAGCAGCGGAGCTGAGGAGCGGAAGGGAGCTCAGTGGCAGAGCTGACAGCCGGAGAGCTGGAGATCTAATCTCCGGCTCCAAATTCAGCCAGCCCAGGCTGACAGGTAAACATTTCTGTAGGAGACACTGTGGCTTGCCCACCAGCCTGCCTTACCCATCACAAATCTTCTTGATTTTTTGTTTAAGCTGCTCTCCTTGATAGAAGATAATGAACACATTCTTCTTCACCTCTTCTCTCTGCAATGCAATTCAAGCAGAATTTAATGCACCCAGAGCAAAGAATCAGGTGCAGAAAAGGAGTCAGGGTTTGGCACCCTCTCCACTGGGTTGTTTTTTTCACCCAGCCCCAGTTTTCTGACAGCAATATTTTCCCTAAATTCTGCTTCAGGGAGGAGGCATGGGAAGCAGCTCTGGGTTGTGGGGGAAGGAGCAATATGGGGCATGGTGCAGAGAGGCAGGGGACAGGAGGTCCACTGGGGCACAGGGAGGACACCAAGAGGAATCAACACCCCCTGGCCAGCCCCAGGTGAGGAGAGACACAGCCCACCTCCCTCTAACACAGCCACCCTGCTAGGCTCACATCCGCCTTACCAGGCAGGACAAAGAAGCCACCTCAATACTGGCAAAAGTCAAAAAAACTTCTCCCATCCTCAGACTTCCCCACCTTTCTCTACAGGCTGCCTTCAGACACCCAGCTCTGGTGAGGCAGCCGGTGTTGTGGCATGGCCAGGGCACCAGTTTGGTTTCTGCAGGTCACAGGCATGCATGAGGAGCAGCGTGAAGCAAAAACACATCAGTACCTACCGTCACAGGGTCCTCCAGGGGGGTGTCCATTTCGGTGTACCTCAGGTAAATGTTTCCCCGGCAGGCTCGCCACAGTAAACGCTCAAAGGGTATCATCCTTTCCCTCTTTATTACCCCTGCTGTGAATCTGAGCAGAGATAAATTACAAGCGTTTCTAAGTCTTTAAGGACTCGTAACACACATGATTTTACAATCTCTTGCTTTTTAGTCCATGATAGCCAGGGCTCTGCTGCTGTTGTAGGCACTTCTAGAAAGACCGCCTTGCTCAAGCCTCAATCTACTAACTTCACCATGTTGTTCGTTCTTTAAAACATTGTAAGTCCTACCCAGATCAACAGAAAAAGGAGAAGAGACAATTCTGGCTAGAAATGGAGGAATAGAGAAATGCTTAAAGTCACATGAACAGCTTGTGCCTGAATGACAGAGGTGGCAGGTAGCAGTTTTGCAGTGGTGGTCCCTCTTTACTCCCTCCTGTTTTCCTTTTCCCAGAAAGCACCAGGCTGCACCGTTGAAGTGCGCTGTGACAGGCTGCTATACACCCACATGTGCTTTGCTCATACAAGAGTTGAACAGGACTTCAGCACTACCAGCATGAGCAGCTTAGAACACCAGTGTGGGAGAACCCCATCAGTGAGTTTAACCACACCTAGCTGATGTAAACACAAGGGAAAGCTGCTTGAGACTACATTGGCTACTGAATTACCATCAGCATTATGCTCAGTGGTGTTGCTGCTCCCCTAACTCTCAACTTCAGTGCCACTTTCTATTGCAGACAAAGCCCAGTGGAAGCAATCCCATGGCTTTTTGCTGTAGTTAGACATTCATCCCTGCGGACAAGGCTGGTAGCCAGCTGCCTGAGTCCAGAAGCTACAGTTAAGATGTAAGAACAATTCTCAGTCAATGCCTACTAAAGGCTCACTGGAATTGATGAACTGGAAGTAAAAGTCCATTTGTCCCACTGGCCCATAACCTGAGCATAGTTTTGATGATAACTCCAGAGAACAGTCACTCTTTCACCTTCATTAAACAGCTACGCTGAACAGGCTGAAGCCTAAGAAGCTGAAGGAAGTGCACCAGTGTCACAGCAATGCCGGGCAGGTGGGCAGCCTGGCCAGGCTGGGGGCCATCACCAATACACACCCCAACTTGGCAGCTGCAGCAGCAGGAGTGCTTCTCAGCTCCAGCAGTCCAGATGTGTCTTCACTGAAGAAATCATCTGGCAGATTGGTTTCTGCCTGGAAAGCATTAGTTATAAAAACTATTCAGCGTTGCCAGTTTAAAAACTATTTTCACATTTTTCTCCTGACATTTTTGGCCCCAAAGGTAGTTTCCACAGAGATTTAGGCCAAACTGGGGCAGGGGGGAGGGGGGAAGGTAAACTGTATCTTAGCAACTAAAAAGCATAAATGCCATTTTCAAAGAGATCTAGGAGCCAAGTTATTGAGCCCCACTGGCTCACAGAGTGATGCAGACTCCAAAGTGATTCAGGTGCTTTTGCAAACATGTCTTGTTTGCAGTGAAGACCTCTGGGTTTTGATTAAAAATCAATAACAGCAACACACACCAAATGAAAATGTCAGTATTTTTAGGAACCTTCCACATCTCTGTTGGAAGAGCAAAGAGGCCTCTCACCTCGAAGAAGTCCTGGGTTTTCTTCAACAGATGTTTGAGCTCCGTAAGCTCAAGGAAGTTCTGCTTCAGCGTTTGCTGGTTCTGGTTGGCTTCCAGCAGCTCGGCTTCAAGTTTCTCCAGCACTGTCTGTTTAGGGTTCAAGCACATCCAGAAAAACTCTGAAGCAGACCAATGCAGCCTTTTAGCATGCTGATACCAAATCTCAAACAACAGATGCTGGGTTTTTTTCAAGAGGGAATATGGAAAGTCAATGAGTGCATCAATTAACACTGCATTTGTAGGAAGATACTCATCAATGCTGACACCTCATTTTCCCATTGTCATGTTCCCTACCGAGTGCTTTGCCCTCTTCTGGCAGTAGAAACAGAATTCACCTGACCAAAGCACAGGCAGGTAAGTGGGTGCCTGGTGTAGGGGTCTCAGACTGTCTTGGCACCTCTGTGGTTCCCCGCAGGACATCTCAGCCCCCAGGTGGACTGGCTGTCAGTCTAGTGAGTACAAAATGAGCTTACAACAAGGCCATCAGCTTAGGTTTATTAGCCATAGTCCAAAAATGTGGGCCCAGGAACAAACCAGGGAACTACCTTGTTCATGAAGCTGAAGCCCTTGGGAAGCACAGTTTTCCTTCCTAGTCACCTACATGTGCAGCATTTTAAAAGGACCCAGTCTGTAAACTTATTTCCAGATGGGTTAGAATAAAGCAACCCCCTCACATCCAAAAGCAAGGCACAAATACTTGTGTCAGACCCCAATATTACTATATCACAACCACACCTACCAGGACAGACAGCCCTGGGGTTTTTATGCAGTGAAGCCAGATACAGCATCAGCTCTCCTGGTTAATCACCAAAAACCTTGTATTCTCTCCTACAGGATGATGGAGACATTCTGTGATAGTGATGCCTTTCCATTTAATATGTGGGACCAGAAGGATGTTTCACAGGGGATGGTAGAAAGACTGGGCTTCTTCAGGAACATGCAGTGAGACCAGCCTTAACCCAACTGCTGAGACAGTGACTCAGGGAGCACCTCCACAGGCAGGGAGAGCTGCCCCAGCCTCTGCTACTGGGTCCTTCCTTGCAGGGGGAAGGCTGTATCGAGCACATCACAGACATCCCTGTGCACCCACTCCAAATTCTGTACCTCCATATCAATCATTTCCCGAGGCAGGGGAGTCTCTGGGTACTTCTCTAGTTTGACTATCTCAACATTGTCTTCCATCTCATTCTCCAGAAAACCTGCAAGGAATGGACACAGAAGTATTGATACAGGGTCATCCCTGCTGCATCATCCTCCTTAACAGCTGCTGTCAGGACATCTGACATCAAGGTGTGACAAGGGCCAGTGATATACAAGAGCTATCATCCCAGTGCATATACACAGCTATCAAGAACTGAACATCTAGAAGCCTCCTCTCTCAGAGAGGATGCTGTTTCTCCCAAAGTCGTGGTGGCCGCTCATGCCCTCATGCCTTGGACAGCCCTCAGCCCTGGCACAAAGAGCTTGGGGCAGTGAGTAAGGCACGCAGCAAGCTTGGGATTCACTCCTCCCCTCAAGCAATGGCAAGTGCTGTCACAGGGGCTATGGCAGGCTCCGGTCCATGGCGAGGGGAGTGCAGGACACACATCCATGGGACACCAGGTACCACAAGCTCTGCTGCTCAGGTTTTAAGGATTTGTCCCCAGGCTGAAACCCTTGGCCACAAGAAGCATATGCCAAATGGCTGGCATGTGGGGTTAAGACTCAAGTTATCTGAATTAGCCTCCTGCCCAGTCCCAGATTTATCTTGTGATTTTATATAAGCTAATTAATCTCCTTTCAGTTCACTTAACCATTTTCGAAACAGGAGTAACAATTTATTGCCCATATGGGGCAAAGCAGTAATTAGCTGACACATGCAAAACATTTCCAGGGGCTCACATGAAAACATCACCGTTTTGCCACTAATTCTGCTCTGCAGTGTGAAAGCACTTAACAAAGAAATAAATCCCACACCACCAGCTGGCGGAAAGACTATTGCATTTGACAAGCATTTACTTACGCAGGATCCTCTCCAAGGATTCGCACCTTCTCACTTCATTCACAAACTTTCTCTGGAAGCTGTTCACATTTGCATTCAGCTAAAAACAGGAGGAAAAACAAGCCTGGAGCTGGAGGCTGCATGCTGCCACACTCATTTTTAACATTAGCAGAGAATGAACACCTTCAGTGCAGACAGCCAACACTGCTGCATCTTACAGACTCCTAGAGGCAGGGCAACACCATGGGTTTCCTTAGGGCCAAGGACATCGCAGTCTTACCAGGCTCATTTCCACCCAGCCTTGCTGTGACAACAAGAGTCATAGACAGACTCTTATGGAGAGAATCCCCATTTTCTGGTGGTGGAGGGAATCATCCCAAGGTTGTGCATAGAGTGTGAAGAGCACCAGATCAGGACTCAGGGATGGGTTAGGTCTCAGCATGGTGATGGGCTTTCAGATCAGCTTTGGGGAAGTCCCACTATCTCCCTAGGATTTTTGACCACCCTGCAGGTACACCTTCCCTGAGTGCTTTGAGGGAAGGACAAGCAGACCATGGGAAACATCTGCAGCTCCACGTGCCAGCTGGGCACTACTCACGTCTCGGAACTGGACCAGACCCAGCTCCCCAAGCTCGGCCACGCAGCAGTAGGCAGCCTCCACCTGCAGGAAGAGCTGCATCAGGCTCATCTCCTCGCTCCGGAAGACTGAGGACATTTTGCCTGCCCTCGTCCAACCTGGGTGTCCGTGGAGACCTTGCTGGCAGCAGAAGAGTCTTCCTTGCCCAGGGAATTGCCAGAAGATGCCGAGTGCTGTGGGAATGTTGGGATCGCTGAGTCAAGGTGCTGGAAGCTAACCCAATGCTGCCCATCATATACTTCAAAAGGCTTTCCTCACCTCCTAAAAGCCTCCTTGGACCCACATGAGGCTTCTTCATCCCACCAGTGCGGTGATGGATGCAAAGGTGCATGTGTGACATAGGGCAAGAAGGAAGCCACGTGAGACAGATGATGAGCAAATGCCCCTCCCTGTCCTCTGCTGGGCCAGAGATGCTTCAGGCCACTGCACTCAGGCCCTTTATCTGGGTTTTGGATGCTGAGCCCATGAAGGACTCAATTTCTCTGTGTCTTTCACCACACAGAGAAGAAAAATCATTAATTTCACCTTGCAATTTGACAAGTGAAAGAGGCCTAACTGGTTTTTATCACTTTCATTGGTAGTGTGAACACAACATTGCAAACACATCTGGAGCATGTTATATGGGGATGGGGAGAAGACACTATTTATTTAAATTAAATCAAGCTTTAAGATTTAAAAAGCATTTCCTCCCAATGAAGGATTGTTTTTAAGATGAGATACATGAAATATTACACATTTCACAAAAGTTCCTTTTGTCTATATGCTTCTTATTATTCACTTTGTGTAACCTGAGCATACAAATTGCCTTTAGTTGTTCTTGCACAAACTTAACTGATTTGCATGCACAAACACAGTAATTATTCTTTCCCAGAGAAAAACGTGCAATTAGATACACTTCTTGCATGCGTTTAATTTTGTAGCAAGCCTACATTTTATAAATAGTAACACAAAATACATTTATAACCTTACTTCTACTTGTTTACAGGGATGGGAAGTCAATTGTCCTTAACCCTCTCTCTCTCCATGAACCTTGTCTTGCAACACTTTTTAAAATGTGGATTCTAATGATTTTTTATAACATGTGAAAGACTTCTCTTAAATGTGAGAGAAACACTTCATAAGATATTAAAGACCTGATTAACAGGTAGGCACCAGTCTGTATTTGCTCAGTTATCCTGTGAGTTTTCTTTGTTTTACTCTCTGTACCCATTCACTAAATAATTTGAGATGTTAAAAATACAATATATGATAACTAGTAGCTTGTTAAAATAAAACCCACCATTTGCCAGCTCCAGTGGATTAAGGATATAGTCTTTAAAGTTGGTTGGACATTTTTTCAGCAAGCAATATTTTCCAGAGGAAAAAGACACAAAAGCTGCAAGAGACCCCCCCCCACTACTCATGCAAGAAAGTAAAAAAATTCCCCAGTTCTGATTTTCAGAAATTTTAAAATATTTTTTAAAAGTTTATAAGATCATCAGAATGTCCCATCTTAACTTCTTTAAGCTGAAAAGTTTGAAGAGACTATAATTTAAAACAGTTCATATTTTTAAACCTGCAGTTAACTTCCATAAAAAATTTTAAAACCTTAGAATTAAAAAAAAAAACAAAACTCAAATGAAATATTTGGAAATATCTTAACTGTTTCAAACCATCTGAATCCAGGGTTCTACTTTTCCTCAGTAATCAGTCAGTGAAAAGCCCCTAAGGCTCACTTTTGTCTTGATTTGGAATGAGAGAAAAACAAAACACAAAAAGAGAAACCACCTTCCAGCCTGGCTTCAAGGAAAGCAGAGCATTCACCCTTCATCCATTCTGACAGATACAGAAGGCTTGCCCAAAGGCACCTGCTGCCAGCCGTGACTCTGCTACCCTCCTCCCCCAGTTATTTTGCTTTGGCAAAAGAACAATAATTGAAAAATCACTCACACTTACCCAGTCGCAATTTACCAGCAGCATTGCACTGCATTAAAATGCATTAAAACACATGGGGTTTCGGGCAGGGTAAATCCTGGTGCTGTAAATTGCTTTAGAGAATGTGTTACGCAGGTTTACCTATCGGCCACCGCACTCCTTTCTGGCAGGCCCTCTCCCCTGGGAAGGGGCAAGCTCTCCCCTCAGCTGGCCGGGCGTCCTGTCAGGCGACGACAGCGGGGTTGTGCCTTGGCATGGCTGCAGGCACCGTGCTGGCGAGGAGGGCGGCGAGCAAAGTGCCCTGGTGAACTGTTCCGACTCACACGGGGCACAGCAAACCTTTTCTTTTAAGATAAGAACTGGTCTGGACCAGACAAAAGAAACCCTTTCTGTCCCAAAACAACTCACGGGGGGTCTGGACCCAGCGCTTTCCGGCTCAGTCACAACCCCGGTGTCAGGTCTGTGACAAGAGCGAGCCGTGTTGTGGCAGCACAGGGCTTGTTGGGACTAATAACAGATGGGGCACGTCGGCTCACACTGCCCCAGCCACCCAAAAACAAGCCAGAACTTTTGAAACCTGCTGTACCCGGAGAGCTGTAAACCCATAAAAACTCCTTTGCGAGCCCTGGATGGAGGAAGAGTCACCAAAGAGTTGGAAAAATTATGTGCTGTTTCTTGCTGGTTTTTCCTCACTGAAGGCAGCCCAGGAAAGGACAGGGAAACAATGGGAGATTAATGATTTTACTTAATGATTTTCCTGCAGCCAAGGCGGGCAGAGCTATACAGCGAAGAGAGGGCTGTGAGGGCAGGGGCTCAGTCAGCAGAGCTGTGCTAGCCTGGGGCAACGCAGGGACACAGGGAAATTAATTCTCACCCTTTGAAATAACAAATGCTGTGGGGAAAAGGGGCTTTATAGACTTTCTCCTACTTCAGCTGCTAAAGCAAGGGCTCCAGAGAGAGATTCGGCTCCTCCTAAAGCCCGATGGCTTAGCTCCCACTGAGGTCAGAGGAGGCAGGGCTTCATCCTGGTGAATAAGCGTGGCTAGGTCACGATTAAATCTAGCACCCCCAAGAGATTTCATCTTAAAAGAAGAACGAATAAAAATGCATGGCTGCTTGTAAACTGTACCCCTTAAAGAAATGCTTTCTCAGACCTGCTTTTTTCAGTGGTACCCAGTAGCCGTGGCCCAGCAAGCCGAAGGGTGTAGCTAGTCCAAGCGAGCAATGCTGAAAGGTGAGTGATGGCACAGGGTTTTCCAGCACGGAGGATTTCTATTCAAGAGCAATGAAGAGCAGCCCCTCTTTGGTAGCTCAGCTAGTGTGAGAGGGCTCCTGCTGCTTTCTGAAATCCAGCTGCCTCGAGCTGCACGACCCAAAAAGGAGGTATTAAAAATAAGGCAATTCTAGCAGGTGGGCTTAAAACTTTCATTTTGCTCAGCTGAGCTGGTCAAAGGGCTCCCACCCACTTTGGCTGCACTGTGCTCTTCCTGCACCAGCTGCCACCACCGACCGGCTTGGCTTTCTCCATCAGCGCTACCAAAGAAAGACCAAAGGCTGGTGAAACTCAGCACTTTCTGTAGGCAAATGGGAACTTCTTTTGGTAAGGCAAAAGTGAAGTTGTTGCTGTCAGCCACTTGGCATGTGCCAAAGCAGCACGTCCGCCACGCAGGGCTGAGAAGAAGCTGGTGTGGGAAAGGAAGGGCATTGCCTTGCAGCCTGTGCTATAATGCTAAATAACAGGAGTCATTGTTCAATTCTCAACTGAGGTATGTTGACACAACAAAATAAAAGAGCTTCTCAGGCTACTTCCTCCACCTCTGAACCCACAGCATATTCTTTCCCCCAGTGAAGCTGTTGTGTTCTGTTGATGATACCAGGATTTGCTTCTGTTTTGTACCAATGCTGCTCTTATTCAGCCCTGCAGTTAAACTCAGCTGCTTCCCTACAAGCTGTTGGAGTGGAGGAGCAGAAGGGGTCCCCAACACACACTTCATCATCAAAGCAAGCCCCACTATGCCAGACACTCCATGCCATTAGCTGGGGAGCGAGTGAACACGGAGCATGGGGATAAAGCCATCTCTCTTGCCCTTCCCCCCTCCTCTTCCTGGGCAGCGGAGAGAAGCAGAAGGCCTATCCTATTTCTTGCCTTTGGCATGTGGAAGTAAGAATATTATTTTATAATCTTATTATTAAAGATTAGATGATGACAGCTGACGATGAGGCACTGTTAGAGAAGCCCCATCACTGGGCTCATTGTTGGCACCGGCAGCTCTGCCCGGGTGAGCTGAAGGCAGACCTTCTCTGGCAGCCCCGTGCTGCAACAGCTGGCCTCAGGCTCCCTCGCTGGGTTCTCCAGAGGGACAGCATGGGGTCACAGCAGGGCCACAGGCTCAACATTTATCTAATAGCAACCCCAGCCTGTACTGGAAAACACAAAGGGCACGGTTGTGGAGACTTTCAAATTGCTTGAAGTGGCTTTCCTCTGTAAGATAGAAAGCAGATGCCCTCTCCCCTTCTTCATTTAAAGAGTAAAACCTTCATGGTTTTGATTTTTTTCCTCTGTTTGCCTCGTTTTAAAAATCAAACCCCCTGTTCACAGGTAGCTTTATCTTAGATGGCTACTTTTCACATCAATGAAGATACCAAACAAAACAGCCTCCTCCCCAATCAACATATTATTGGCACCAGGCTTAAGGTTTTAAACTTTTTAAAGCCGTTTTGAGGGCTTTACAAAGGTCCTTAAGCTTGAGCTTTATAAAGGCCACCTGAGAGGGAGGTCACCCCACAATACAAATCAGTGGGTTGCTAACAGACAGACCTGCCCTCCCAACAGGTGTCTTTTCCAGAGATGCACTTGGAGATTTTGCTACCTACAAAGCAAGTGTAGGAGATAGATCTGCTCCTGTGGTCTCACCAGTAGCACAGACCACCTAGCACCTGCCCTGGTGTCCAGCACCGTGACCTCAAAGGCTGCACAGAGCCCTTGTGAATAAAAACTGGGAATTGTCAACTAATCACCTACTTCAGTGTGCCAACACACATCGCTCAGGGGGGTCCCAAGCGTGCAACCCCTCCAGCTGGGCTGTCATCCCTTTCAGCAGCATGGGGAAGTTTCATCCAGCTGCAGGTGGCTCTGGGATCAGTATCTTGGCTGTAATCACTCC